GGGGGGGGAGTGGATTCTTGAGATATTCCTTCGGTAACCGATTGGTAAACGAGTAGCAGTATATGTATAGCATGTGTGACGTACACAATTTATAAGTATAAACATATAATTAACCTTCATTACAAATAAATCTGCCTTACCTACATGACGTGAAAAGCTTACCTGTATGCCGTGTATATCTTACCTGTATGACTATAGCCAGTATCCCGGCCACCATTACAAATGACTGAAACACATCAGTCCAGACAACCGCCTTCATACCACCCTGTGAACGAAAAAAGACGAGGAGTAACGAACACACACAGGAAAGAGGAGTGTACAGGGTCTACAAACAAACCAAACAAATAAACATCTAACCATATTAAAAAACAATTATGCCAGATTTAAAAATTGAATTGAAATCTCATGTGATAAATAAATTTAATATACCAAGGTACAATATACACATTATAAATATAAAATGGTAGAATGAACCCGTACCAGGAAAGTGTAGAAAGTTGATACTAGGCCCACTGTGATGACGGTCGCCCAGGTTGGAAATCCCGTAACTGGAAAATTAAATAAACAAATGAATAATAAATAAATAAATAAATGATACATGCCAAGCATTATTATGAAAAATCAGTATTGAAACTGGTATTTAGTTTAAAGATCCCTTCCCACTACACTAGATTTTTCCTTTTTTCAGTAACCTCCCTTTAATCAGTTTTGTAAAAAGACATACTGAAGTTTGTTTACAATTGAAGAAAATAGAGTTTAAAAAGAAATATTTACAGTTTAAAGTTTCATTGACTCAATAACTTTTGTTGATGTCATTGTCATTATCACTCGATAACGACAGTCATTCTCGTGCGCGTAGTGATACAAACAACCCGGGGGTTTCCATTGCTATTTTCGGAAGTAAACAAAATTACCGGGGATACCAGATTTGTACAGCTCATTCAGTGTATTCATGCAAAATATACATTGTTGAAATGTTGACGTACATTGTTGAAATGTTTACGTACATTGATGAAATGTTAACGTACATTGTTGAAATGTATACATCCCGATGACGTCACGTTGTTGACAGCGCCCTATGATCATTTACATACGTTTACTTTGTGGACATAGTGTAAACAATACCCAGGAATACGATATTAAATTCAATTTTGACAATACCGTTCGATATACGGCAATTTTGCCGTAATATTTTCAACTGCACTATATAAGGCTGGTATGGTAATCACAGGACGGGTTCGATAAATGTACATGACCTACATGTCATATCCCTGCCTAAATACTGATAATAAGATCACAGCACACGAACTGGGTTTTGTAATGATTGAAGTTGAAGAATGCTTCTTATCCTCCTGCGGGATTTAATCCGGTTAAAAGAACGCATTGTATGTAATATTAAAGAGAAATACTATAAATATAAGGATAAACTTTCCATTTAGTTTAGGTTATCGGATGATAACTACAATGGAACTGGGGTAGTTTAATCATAATCGGCTTATTATTCAATTTACCCGAGTTCCATTGAAGATATCACCCGATAACCTAAATTAAATAGAAAGTTAATCCTTAAAGAAACAAACAAATATTCATGATTTATTTGCGTATACTATGTGGCGCTGATGACTTCAAATATGAAGATATAGGTACTTGTTTACTTTTTAACAATCCCTGTCCCACTGCACTGTATATTTTCCTGTTTTGTAAAAAGACATGCTGAAGTTTGTTCACAATTGAAGAAAACAAAGCTTAATATGAAACAAACAAACAAATATCCATGATCATTTGTCAAAAATTATGTGACGCTGATGGCTTCAAATAAAAAGATATTGGTATAAAAATCCCTGTCCCCCTGGGGACACTGTAGAGTTTCCATTGTGCAGTAACCTCCCCTTAATCAGTTTTGTAATCAGTATTGAAAAAGACATGCTGAAGTTTGTTTAGAAATGATGTCAATAGAGTTTAAAATGAAACAAACAAAATATTCATGCGAATTTATCTGTATATAAACAATAACTGGTTGTCTGGATGTAATTATTGTTGATATAATTACAAGTGGCCTCTGGCAAATCCCATAAAAACCCGCCACTTGTTATTATATCAACAATAATTACATTCAGACAACCAGGTATGTTTTATATATACATATTTTTCTTTTTTAAGACATATTCCTACAAAAAACATTTGCCCTGCCTCAAAATACATTTCAGGCGGCCATTTTGTTTGTTTACATATTCCTACACCTGAAACAGGCAGTTGTAATTATAGTCGAGCAGTTGTAATTATAGCCTATATAATTACACTTGCCCTCTAACACTGTTGAAATGGGACGGCGCGGGGGCAAATGTAAATATATCATTATAGGAGATGTTACAGGAGAGTTACCATTACTTTATGTTTATATCATTATAGGTGATGTTACAGGAGAGTAACAATCACTTTGTTATGTTTATATAATTACAGGAGATGTTACAGTAGAGTTACCATTACTTTGTTATGGTTATATCATTATAGGAGATGATACAGGAGTGTTCCCATTCCTTTATGGTTATATCATTATAGGAGATGTGACAGGAGAGTTACCATTACTTTGTTATGATTATATCATTATAGGAGATGTTACAGGAGTGTTCCCATTCCTTTATGTTTATATCATTATAGGAGATGTTACAGGAGTGTTCCCATTCCTTTATGTTTATATCATTATAGGAGATGTAACAGGAGAGTAACAATCACTTTGTTATGTTTGTATCATTATAGGAGATGTTACAGTAGAGTTACCATTACTTTGTTATGATTATATCATTATAGGAGATGTTACAGAAGAGTTACCATTACTTTGTTATGGTTATATCATTATAGGAGATGTTACAGTAGAGTTACCATTACTTTGTTATGATTATATCATTATAGGAGATGTTACACGAGTGTTCCCATTCCTTTATGTTTATATCATTATTGGAGATGTTACAGGAGTGTTCCCATTACTTTGTTATGTTTATATCATTAAAGGAGATGTTACAGCAGAGTACCAATCACTTTGTTATGTTTGTATCATTATAGGAGATGTTACAGAAGAGNGGGGGGGAATTGTGGAAAATGGTAAAAATATATGACTTTTTAAGAAGAAAATCACGGAGGGGTTTTTCTTGAAGCCCAAAAAGCCTCTGGATCCGCAAATGTCAAGATAATATTGACTGCTGTTTCTTAAAGTAATACATGTAAAACCGCGTCAATATAACAAATCAGCGACCTCCACGTGATTATGATTAAACCAATGCGGATGTAGGGAAAATATGCGTCATTTATTATAAAGCATTCCCTTTAGTAGGTAAATAACACATTATATCAAGTTCTTAAATAAACGGACAATAGGAAGCAACGTTTCCTATTGCAGACTGATTTCACTTGAAATACGTTAATAGAGTAGAATAAAAGCGTTGTTAAAAGGATTTTTTGGTAATGCAGGTTTAGTTTTGACCTTCAATCAAACGGTTGTTCTCTGCTTACGGCTTACTGATATATGTAACAGGTTTGTCTTCGGGGTTAACAAAATAACTTTTTCCCTCGATACAAGTCAGCAACTGCATAAAAACAGTGCATGTCCTTAAAGAGGTATTTAAAAAAAAAAAAACAGGAAATACTTTAGCTGAGTCTAGTAAGGTATTTTATAAACTATAATCGGCGCTATTGGTGATATATTTACCCGCCTCCAGAGCTGTTGACGGAGCGTAGGACGCTATTCCCATGTAGATTACCTAAAGGACAAAATCGAGAGACAGCTTCAAATAAACAAAATCAGAAAAGCAAGTTTGAATAATAATAAACAGTTTGGAAATATGTAATATCAAATTTTACTTTATAAATAAACAATGTACGTATAAAACGTGTCGCAACGCTTCAAGACCGACTGGTCGCTTTGTCTAGCTATGACTGACAAATGGACAAGTCGACACACGTTTAATACGTACTTTGCTTGTGTGTAAAGCAAAACTTTGATATTAGACGTTAATGACCTATTGTGACGGATGCTATATCTATATACGGCAATTACTGTACCGACATAACATTTGACATGACATGTACAAGGACCGACAAATATGGACAGATATAAGGTTAAAAGACACATTGAAAATATTTCGGAACGGACGTCAATCGGACGGGCTTCGTGACAAGCAAATTTTACTGACGGACCTGTCGTTTAGGGCGAACAGTGGACGTATTATTGCGAGGAGAACGCAATCTAATGACAATTGTATTTCCGCTCCTCTGTTGGGTTGTGCCGTAGAGCATCGTAGAGGAGCGGAATTACGAGACTAATTTTAATTAGATTGGAGGAGGACGGTGAATGAAAGAAGAATACATGATCATTTGTCTTGTGTGTAATTCAGATACACTGCTTTATTTCAGAAGTACCATTACGGTAAAAGCATACAACATTTAGACTATTTATAAAGAAATGTTCATCAGTTCAAATTATGACGTTTTGAAAGGTTAATAGACTGCAGATAAAACCGCCTACGATATTCACCTCCTTCTCGATACGTTTTCAATTATGACTTTAGATATGACGTCATCAATATTTTACACGACTTTGTGGTAGAATGTCTATGCCGTCAGGATTTCTTTTTTTCTTTAATTATTATTTTCACATAAAAAGTCAACTTTATTATTATATTTAAGAAAGGGGTATATTGTGTTAAAAACAGCTAGTTGTTGCGCGTTTGGGCAGAATGTTTTGTTTGACCTTCGGGCAACAACATTCTTCATCAATTTTTAAATTTAAACGAATTCATTCAGGCCGCTTATTCAAAGTTGACATTATAAAATGTTTCCCGGTAAAACGTTCCTCACACTGGGTAAATGTACCTTTCTCAATTGTCCGGAGNCCCCCCGACCACGGGACCATATTTTCTGAAGGCAAATTACATGAACCTGACACTGACACCAGAGCGCGAAACAAGCCGTTTTGAATACTTTGAAGGGCTCATAAAACTTAATTGCTTCATTGTTCAGGCCGTGTCGTAGGTAACAAACTGAATTGTTTTTTTAAGAATTACCTGGTAGTCGAGCCTCTATTGTTAAAAAACTAAGATGGCTGTATATTAAATGAAGCAATATTTCAACATACAATGTATGGGGTAAAATATAGGATGAGAAAATCGGTTAGGTACAGTCTATTTACAAGGATAACAATGGTTTAATGGCAGATTTTACGAGGCAGATATTCGATTCAGTTGTAAACTATAAATCTCCCTAAACACACACTTGATCTAGACCCCCCCAATAAAGATGAAAATTTATGACAATGCTGTACCTCTTAGTGCTCATCTCTATAACACTATCGATACACCGAGTGTATTCCATCTGCATTCTAAGCTACTTGTAAATCCCACGCGAAGTTGTTTTTTTATCTTTCTTTTCTGTTTTCATTTGTTAGCGTAATTTTTGTTATTTATTTGTGTGTTATGAAGGTCGATCTTTTTTCTAATTATGCTCATTACAGTGTTTTGTGGTTTTGTTGTCACTACCTGAACTTGCGACCGACATCGATGAAGCGGAAAACGACTTCCCTTCCGAAACACCTGGTCTTTTTCTACGTTCTCAATGCAATCATTTTTTTGTATCGATTTTGAGTTCGAATTATGGTTGTCGACACTTCGGTATTCTCTCGGGTATTTTTCTTTTCTTGCACTATGTATTATTTCGTTTTACTATTTTCATTGCAAGCGATAGCATATGGACTGGACTCCAATTCATCAAAAAATAACTTTAGCTAGAAGAAATGTTTTTAATTCCGTACCTTTTATTTTCGTGATGTATGCTTAACGCGATTTCACGCGAAAATAGACATCCCGGGCAAAAAAACAAAATCTGCTTCTAAGTTGAAACTCTATAACCTGATACAAAAGCAGTATATGATGACGTCATTGACGTGATGCATCCTCGATACTCCAGGGGTTATGTTCTATATCGCTCCCTGCATCCATGTAAAAAGTCATGACAAAATTGAAGGCATGCGACTAGCCATCTGATTAGTCTAGGGTAGACATAATAATGACACCTGTCCCTGTTTACACATTTACAGATAGCACATGAGCCACACCAGACTTCAAAGCCTGTCTATTTTTACCGTTACGCTTTTAAAGGATCAAACTAGTCTTCTCGTCTCATCCACAAGGTGGCGCACACTGAGCCTTCGATTTTGCATTGACATATTCCAGTGGTAGAGAGCAAAATTGAGCGTAGCCCCATGGAGTATCGAGGATGGACATGATGTGGGTGATTAAAAGGGGATTTTCTGTTACTTTTTTAATTTTTTCTATATATTTTTTTCTTTCAAAAATTGACGTACTTTCACAAAAGATTGCACGGATTAATGAATAAATATAAGCAAGAACCTTTACATACCTGTTGTAATATCATCATGATAGTCCCAGTGAGTTTTGCGGCTTTAGAGTCAAATCTTTTCTCCAGATACTGTGAAAATAAAACAATTGATATCATAATTCATTGATATGATCATTGGTAACAGGTAAACTGCCTTAACTTTGCTGATATGGTCAAAGCTTTTCTCTAGGTACTGTTGAAAATAAAATCATTTACGTAGTTAATCGTAGATATCTGTCTGATAATTATGTAGCTTTACCTCTTTCAAGTCGAAGCTTTTCTCAGGGATATATGTTTAAGATAAAATCATCTTACTACATATTAATTCATTCCAAGCCTTATGATGTTTTTTGAGTTAAACATATTCTCCAAATAGCTTAATATAAAAAAAAAATCTGGATTCGTAAATTATATGTTGAATAATACGTTCTCTGCTATAGAGTCAGAAATTGCCAGGGTACAGTTTAAAATAAATTGATCTGTGGTGTGACGCTTCGTGCTCAATTTGAGCAATTCGCAAGAGATGTTCCGAATAGGAGAAAAATGACAGAGAAAACTCGAGCGCGTGAGATAAAAAACAATGTTTTAGGAACCAGTCACGCTGCCAATATAGTTCAATCAGACGATTACCGGCTGGTAAATAGATGGGGTCATAATGACCCAATGTTTAAATTATCGAATCAGGGGCAATAAAATAATAAAATCCGATCTCTGAGTATTCTGACAACCTGTGTTACTTTCGACATAATGTTGTATACCCATTGCAAATGCAAACTAAGTACATGTAAGACTTGTATATAACGACGTCCTCTCCAATCCGACTTACATAATCAAGTGTCCCACATAGTATTGGATTCAACAGGTTTCACTAGAAAAAAAACCCCATATATTCGTATTTCATTCAGGGTTTATTGGAAAACGGAAAGGAGTCAGAATAATTACAGGATAACCTTCATATGTGAGGAACGAAACTGTATAACCAGAATTGGAACTTCGATAACTTTCTAACAGAGAGGCTGTAGACGGAATCTCCGATTACTTAACAAACTTAACAGACATCTGACTATATGTTTTCTATCATACATACTACCCTTTATAATTTGAACAAAATAAATACATAATGATAATTGGCAGCTATACCATATCTTTTCTGCTACAGTTGTTTCCATTTATAGTAAACATTAAATGTGTTGTAGTTTATTTCATACTGGTGGAGGTTTGTTGTGTGGTTTTCGTTTCGATGTTTTCTCTTTACGTGCTCTTTTCTTTTTGTATTGACTATTAATTCCAGTTTATTCATTCATTCATTTATGTTTTAACATTTTCTTTTGTATTTCTACGCATGTGTACGCTGCACCGCAACTCTCTGTATAGCACTTAATCACTTCAATTTTGTACGGAAATAACGTAAGAATTCTTATCTTGACAACCCTATTGCACTTCTGTATGTCTGTGTGCGATTGGTTGATTTGTTTAGCATTTTAACATGTCACAAACCAGGAAGTGGAAACCCGTATACACGTACGTGTATTATGAAAACAAAATCAATCTGTGCACAGCGTCAATGACTAAAATAACCCGCGTCAGTTCCGTCTTAGCATAACATGGGTTAAATCTGATTTCACCCTGTAAATCATCCTCAGTACTTCATAGGTTACGCTCAGTTTCACTCTCTGCACCCCTGGAATATGCCATAGCAAAATCGAAGGGCTCAGTGTGTGCCACCTTGTGGGTGATACAACAAGAAGAAGATACACGTACATCAAAAGAATCCCGGGGGCGCGTCACGATAAAATTGACTGGCTTTGAAGTAGAATGTCGCATCTTCAAAGGACAGGTATAAGTTTGGCGCTCGGTCAGTTATTTTTTACCTGAGCCTAAATAAATAGCTAGCCACTTGCATTCAAGTTTGTTAAGACATATTCCAGGAGTACAGAGAGCGAAAGTGTGCGTATCCCCTGGAGTATCGAGGATAACTGTCAATAAGTTCAAGATCCCAACTGTAGTAATTTTAGACTATTCTTTGTAAAGAAGCTTGACATCGAGTGTCAAATTGATTTAAATGCATGTACAATATTGCTTCAATATTTAAACAATGAATACACAAATACTTCATGTAAATCGTGATATCAGATCAAGCGAACGATTATGAATATATTCGTAATCAGAATATTCATTTGACCTCCTCCCCCATTTAAGCTTGCTATTGAGAAGTGTATACACGTAATCTGTGTCAATACCTTTGTACCTATTTGGACCATGCATAATTAATGTACTTTAAGTAAAAATTCGTTTCTGATTTCAAAATCGTTCTACAGCCATAAGCAAATAATAATAATAACTCGAGGTTCTTATATTCCGTCTTTGCGTATTGCAGAGTTATCTTCTCTTGGGAGGAGGTATTGATTGTTACATCACTTGTTTGTGAGAGAAACGTCATCATTTTTTGAGAAAACAGCGTAATTTTCTCACACAGACCAATGACGTAACAATCAATACCTGCTCCCAAGAGCAGATAACTCTGCAATACGCAAAGACGGAATACCGCTTTATCACAATACAGTTCGTAGGTCGTCTCCAAGCGGTTCACAAATTATTATCCATGGTTTTAGGGCCTTTGTAACTAGCCACTATCTTTCTCAACTCCTTGGGGTACTTTACCATACAGCCGGTGCTGCCATTTCGGCGTTCACAGCTAGCATTCTACAATTCTAGCACTGCCCAACCACGTACTCATTTACAGCTGAGTTGACTGGAACAAGCGGAGTAAAGTATCATGTTCAAAGATACAACACAGTGCCGTGACGTGACTCGAAACTGCAACCCTTGGGTCACAAGCCCGGCGTCCTAGCACTAGACTACAGTGCACGTGCCTCCTTATACATTTAAACAACACGCATAAATCTACGGGCCGAATAGTGTCTGTCATTTTATCATTTTAAACCTTCAATCAAATATGTTTACTTAAGATTTTATCAAAGTCAGCTGCACTTGAAAATCAATGAAAGTATCTAAGAACTCGAAGCCAAACATGTTAAAAGAGATCAAGTTTCCATTTGTTTATAACCCAAACCTTAAACACTCTTAAGCTAACCAGGCTCCTTTGTCTATAAACGTAATCTCTTGTTTATATAAAGTGTCTTGAGCCGTATAATGCTTTGTCAAAGCATCGTCAACTTTATCGACCCGCAAAAAACTATTTTTAAGACTTCTTGTATATAATATACCAGTCATTTATATCGAACCTTTCTGAGAAAGTAGTTTGCTTTATAGGGAATTCGCTATAAGTTCGAATGTTTATTATACATTTTACATGGTAAACATGTATAGCATGCTTGTTATAAATGTGTAAGGAAGAAATACTAATCTTTACATTTCTTTTCCTAAAAGACGGTGATATAATTTCACATCCTCTGCTCTCCCTTAATTACATATTTTAATAATTACGCTCTTTCCTCTGTTCAACTTTGACCTGTTATGTCTATTTACGAACGATACGGTGGCATTAAACAATCCATATTGTGTGATATCGGAACCGGTTCTTGTCTCAGTGTGGAGGGTAACTCGACCAATGGACGGGTGGTCGGGTGGTGCAGAGGATTGCGCACTTGCCTTTCACCAAGGCGACCGGGGTTCGATTCCCCAATCGGACCGATAAAGGTATAGGGTCACCTGCCCGACCACGGGGGTTCTCCCCGGATAATCCTTTGTTTCCTCCCACATTAGGACCCTACGCGCGCTTACATTTGGACCAACAAGAGTATTTAACATAAGTTGAAATAACTTGTTTCGTATTTGTTGTAAAATGAAAAAAGTTTATATTCATATCTAATGGACGTGCGGGATATCCGCTTCCCCTTGTATATCATTAACGTGTCACACATTGTGTATGTTTTAAACCTGTGATTTGTGTAAGAGTTATCTCCCTTAAGGATACATGCTACTTTTATACATTTTAGCTTAGATGGGTGTTAGAGTTATCTTTCTTAAGGATACATGCTACTTTTATACATTTTAGCTTAGATGTGTTTTAGAGTTATCTCCCTTAAGGATACATGCCACTTTTATACATTTTAGCTTAGATGTGTGTTAGAGTTATCTCCCTTAAGGATATATGCTACTTTTAAACAGTTTAATAATTGTGATTTATGTTAGAGTTATCTCCCTGAAGGATATATGCTTTTTTTATATATTATAACTGTGATTTTTATTGACTTAACATCCTTAATTTTGTCCGCATTTTACCAATATTTCAGATCTTTCCCAAGCGTGTCAAATATTTTAATTTTTATCTACGTAACTGTAATAACTATAATTCAATATTGACCCGAAAACAACTCAATCCCCTCCCCCCGCAAAAAAAAACTGGTCTTAAAAAAATTCTCCAAAATGTATCCTACTCTGCGAAAAATTAAGTATTATTTCCAGTTTGTATTATTATTGTGTGTTCTTACTTAGCATCCTGTTTCCACTTAAAGATGCGACAAAATGGTGACAAGGACCATACAATCCCTGTTAGATTAAAGGCTTAGCTCGAAAGCTCGCATTAGGTCGACATTTATATTCTTACTCATGTTAGTACTTTTTCAAGTAAACAAATTTGATTGTTTGGTTGCAGAGATGAAAAAAACCCTCAAACATGACCAATCGCAAGGCTTAAGGACAAAGATTATCAAATATCTACTCCCAGATCAAGGCCGGTCAACTTACATTTACGCTGTCGCTGGATTGACTATAGTATTATGCTAAATTCACAAGTAAACATAATGTATTTACTCAATTCAAGTCATAATACGTGTCGTATCATCTTCAAGGTGGCTCGTTCAGAAAATGTGATTCTCTTGAGAAAAGTCATATGTATATCGGGAAGTTTTATTTAAGGAAATGCATCTTTTTAAAATGTATGAGGGTATGCAACACAGTTCCGTTCAAACATGATGCGCGTTATGGGGGGGGGGGGGGGGGG